TACAAACCTTATTTAAATTCAGTGCCACAGATTCGGATTTTGGTCATTGGTCCAATTGGAGCTGGGAAGTCCAGTTTTTTCAACTCTGTGAATTCTGTTTTTCGAGGTTATGTGACAAGCCAAGCCATAGCAGGATCTGATAACACTAGTGTGACTACACAGGTAAATTTTTGGTTCTAATTATATAACATCTAAACCAAACCACATTTTCTTAGTTAAAAATCAACATTTTCCCCACTAAATAGGAAATCCAGAAATAGTCCATGATTGTCCCCACTGAATTCCATGCATCTGCCTGTGAGGAGAAAGGTATTAACTCAATGTTTTCCAGCTATGTATAATTACATATTACTTCTCCCCCCTGCCCCCAATAGTACAGAACTTACCCAGTTAAAGATGGAAGAGATGGCAAGCCTCTGCCTATTATCTTCTGTGACACGATGGGAATAGAAGAAAAATCAGGAACTGGTCTGGAAATTGATGAAGTGTCCAACATAATAAAAGGCCATGTACCTGATAGATACCAGGTAGGATTTCTGCAATTCTGTGCAATTCAAATAATATCTTTAAATGTTTCTTTACATGTAAAAAAATATTACGTCTTACATTTAATTACAGTGGAACAGAATATCTACTGTGTGTAATATATTCTTGCATATGTGGTACTATGCAGTAAAAGCTTATGAGTGTTGATCTCAAGTAAGATGTATTTGAAAAGTGATATACTATGGCAAGTTTGTGTTTAAGTCCAATTTTGCACTGGCCTGTACTTTATGTAATCTTTTACAGTCATGCTAAGTTGATGTGTAAATTGCTGCGTGGGTAGTGTTTGCCAACCATTTTATTTGGGTACAAGCAAAGGGAGAATCAGCCACAAAGTGTAGCTGGTTGAAATATTTTGAACAAAAATGTTTTAAATAGGAAAATGGATTTTAACTCCCCAAGTTTCTGGTGTCTCTTAAAATTCTTTTTTTTTTAAATTGAAAGATATTTACTAAAAATGCAATCAATTTCATTATTGAAATGATTCTCTAAATTTTTGTATTTTTTTCCAATTGGAAACCTAATTTTCAGGAACTGAACATTTTAATTTTTGTGTGTGAAAGAATTTGAAAAATGAGGAATAGGTTAGCTTGGTAAAGCAGAAACAATCTGTCATTTTGAATATTTTGAAAACATTGTTTTAAAACATTGGAAAGAGCAACTTCCATATTCAAACTTAGTACAGTGTCTTTTGCCCTGGCTTTTTGTCTTGTCTAGTAGATGGCTGCTGCCTATATAGGCCATTCTAAATACTAACTTTTGCACTGTGCACGAGATGCAGATTTTGGCTATGACTGCACTGCACTGCACCTCTCTTGTGCAAAAGCCTATGCAAATGAAGCACAGATTAGCCTATTGCTACACTTCATTTGCATAATTAATTAGGGGCCGTTTTTGCGCAAGAGGCTTTAGCACAAAAAAGAGCTGTGTAGACAGCTCCATTTTGCGCAAAATTCCCCTCTTGTGCAAGAGCCGTTCTTCCTGAAAAAATGAGGAAGAATGGCTTTTGCGCAAAAGTGGGGTTATATGCAAAAAGGCGCTGTCTACATAGCTCCTTTTTGCACAAAAGCCTCTTGCATAAAAATTGCCCCTAATTAATTATGCAAATGAAGCTCGGCAAGATAAGTGAGTGTGAAACTGGGAATTAGGAAATCCTAAATTTTAATCCTGACTTGACCACTGTATAGTTGAGTGTAGATGAATTATTTTATCTCTCTGTATATCAGTATTCCTCCTTCTAAAATGAATTAATAATACTTGTCTCCCTGCTCCAGAGGTGTAGTGTGGGAATCAGTATTTGTATAACCCTTTGAATCTTCAGTTCTTTGGAATTATTATTTATTATTATAAAACATTTCCTTGCAGTTTAATCCAGCTGCCACACTTCGTCCGGATTCTCCAGGCTATATCAAGAATCCTTCTCTGAAGGATCAGATTCATTGTGTTGCATTTGTTATTGATGGGTGCAAAATTGAGATTCTCCCTGAAAAGCTGGAAGACAAGCTGAAACAACTTAGAAGAAAAGTGAACCAGTTTGGTATGTTTTATATATCCTAATACCACAGAACAGAATGAAATGGGCCTGCCCAGGAGGTAATCTGACTTTCAAGCCTGAGCCCATTGCATTATTAGGGGCCTGAAGTACTTCTAGGAGCCAGTGTTTATCTTTGATGTGGGAGGAGGAATTGCCACATATAGCTATTGAGGTTTACATGCTGGCTGGTTCTCTAAGCATTATTATGGTAATCTGGAGCATCAGGTCCCTCACCTGGTGAAGATACGGGCACTGCATTGAGAGAACAGAGGAATTCCTGATCACCTCCATTTTTCTTTACTGTTTAATTTTACAGTATGCCTATTGTGTTTCTGCTCTTCAGTACAATAGAGCCCACCTGGGCTACATCTATACTGCAAGGCTTTTCTGCAAGAGGAAATTCAAATGGAGCGCTCATTTGCATATGATGTGCTCACATTTGCATTTCCTCTTCAGATCTCTTTTGCGCAAGATATTTTTGTCTAAAAAAGAGCTGAGTGGATGGCTTCTTTTTGTGCAAAAACCCCCTTTTGTGCAAGAGCCATTCTTCCTGAAAAAATGAGGAAAGGCAGCTCTTGCTCAAGAGGGGGTTTTTGCGGAAAAAGGAGCTGTCTACACAGTGCTTTTTTGCGCAAAAACCTCTTGTGCAAAAGGGATCCGAAGAAGAAATGCAAATATGAGCGCGACATATGCAAATGAGCACTCCATTTGCACTTCCTCTTGCAGAAAAGCCTTGCAGTATAGACGTAGACCTGTTAATACAGGCCCCAAGAGAGAACTGTGGGCTTATAGGAATACATCTCACCAGGAGAAAAACCATTTTGATTTCATTAATAACTTTAAAATACATATAATCCCAGGCATTAAAACCTTTTAAAAAAAGGAGCAAAGGTAACATTGCATCATTTAACAGTGGAACTTGAGATGGAAAGCGACAAAGAATGAAAAGAGAACTGAATCTTGGAGCTTTCATTTTAAGAGGGATAAGGGATCTTTCAGAAAAGGCTTTATTTTCCAAAAGATCCGCGTCTAGACTGGTGCTTTTTTCTGGCAAAGCTCCGAGCCGGAAAAAGCGGCAGCCATTTTTATGCTAATGAAGCAGGGGAGATTTAAATCCCTGCTTCATTTGCAATTGCGATATGTCTAATTTGAATCCCTTTTACGAAAAAGGGATGCAGTCTAGACATAGCCAGGGTGAAAACAGGCCCCAGTTGTGCTGTGGAACTTGACTAGGTGTGCCGTGTTTTTTGAGACCCCTGTTTTGAATCATTACTTAGCCCTGGCAGTCTTCCAAATTAGATGATTAAGTCTTTAAATTTAGTGATACTATACTGGAGGAATAAAAGTCATTTTGTATACAAAGCATCTTCCCACCAAGACAATTGGGGCATTGTCCAATAACTGTTTAATATTAGTTTAATAATTAATCTTTTTCTAAAGATGCTGTGCAAAAGAAAAATACTTTCACCTTATGTTAGCAGAAGTAGTTCCAATACAGAAACGATGTAAATTAGATGTAAAATCTTACTCATTTTTTGTATAGGGGTCCCACAACTGGTTTTGCTGACGAAAGTGGATGAAATTTGTCCTGCTCTTGAAGAAGACATCCAATGTGTGTACAAAAGTAAAGCTGTTGAGAAACAGGTGAAGTATGGCAGTGTTTAATATAGTACTAAATATAAAAAACTCAATCGCCTTGAATAAATCAAGGTATTGTAATACTCTACATCTGTAGTACTTACATACTCTCATATTCATACACACATTCTTATTCTGGTTTTGTAGGCACAAGCTGAAAATATAACTAAATTTAATACTTCAGGTTTTGGTTGAACCCACAAAATAAGACCATAAGAATGGACAATCTGGGTCAGACCTAAGGTCCATATAGCCCAGTATCCTGTCTTCCAGTAGTGGCCAATGCCAAGTGCCTCAGAGGAAATGAACAGAACAGGTAATCATCAAGGCTACGTCTAGACTGGCCCCTTCTCCGGAAGAGGCATGCAAAGCAGGCAAGTCAGAATAGGGAAATCCGCGGGGGATTTAAATATCCCCCGCGGGATTTAAATAAACATGACCGCGGGATTTAAATAAACATGGCCTTGCAAGTAGGAATAAGAGATCCTCCGGAAAAGGGCTTTATTCCAGAGGATCGCGCCAGTATAGACGCTCTTTTCCGGCTTTTCCCCAAGCCGGAAAAAAAGTGGCGGGCCCCGTGGGGGATATTTAAATCCCCCACGGATTTCCCTATTCTGACTTGCCTGCTTTGCATGCCTCTTCCGGAGAAGGGGCCAGTCTAGACGTAGCCCAAGTGTGATCCATCCACTGTTGCCCATTCCCAGCCCTGACAAACAGAGGCTAGGACACCAGCCCTGCCCATCCTGGCTAATAGCCATTGATAGACCCATCCTCCATGAATTTATCTAGTTTTTTTTGCTATCCTGTTAAAGTTGGCCTTCCCAGCGTCCTCTGGCAGAGATTGCCACAGTTTGAGTGTGCATTATGTGAAGAAATACTTATGTGATTGTTTTAACACTACTGCCTGTTAAATTGCCTAGATCTTACATTATGGAAGGAGGAAATAACTTTTCCAAATTTACTTTCTCCACACCATAAAAGATTTAAGACTTGTTAATATTGCAAGGTGGATTCTGAAGAATAAAACTGGATAATAGGAAAAGATGGCAATACCAGAAACCTGATTAAAAATTAAGGGCCAGATTCTTTTCTCCTACCTCACTTTATATAAAATAACTGGAGTTTGGCCGTAACTGGCCAGCTGCAAATTACCCTGGTGTAAATAGGAGTAAAACTAAAAGTAAAAAAAAAAGAATAAAAGAAAAGAAAGGAGAGCTTCAGGGGGGAGAAGAAGTAGGAAAGAGCTCTGTTCTGTTGGCTTTTTTTTAAAGCTGATGTTCTTTCAGAGGGGAAAAACACTACTGGATTATTTTTGTACAGTCCCTACATGACCAGTACATAGAATTGTCCTCTTGGGGTGTGTCTAGACTACATGACTCTGTCGACAGAGCCATGTAAAGTAGTTTACTCGACATAGTCAATGAAGCAGGGATTTAAATAATCCCCGCTTCATTAAAAGAAAAATGGCTGCCACGCTGTGCCGACAATCAGCTGATCCAGCACAGTGCGGCAGGTTAGACACGGTGCGGTCAAAAAGGGAAGCCTTTGTCGACCACTCCGGTAAACCTCGTTTCACAAGGCATACCGGAGCAATTGACAAAGGCTTCCCTTGTTGACCGTGCCGCGTCTAGACTGCTGCGCTGTGCCGGATCAGCTGATTGTTGGCACAGCGCGGCAGCCATTTTTCTTCTAATGAAGGGGGGATTATTTAAATCCCTGCTTCATTGACTGTGTCGATGGAGCCATGTAGTCTAGACACACCCTTGGACTCCTTGCCCTGTCCCATGCTGACAGAGTCTGACACAGGAGAGAATCCATAAAGGTTTAATTACCTGCAATATTTAATCTTGTATAAATATATACTTGTCATGGCTCAGTCCCCCAACCTGACACTCTGCATGCAGAGATGGGGGGCTGGCTAGCAGAATAAACTCTGTAAAACCTGTTTCTGACACTCCCAGAGACAAACTTATCCTGTCTCAGTCTTCCTGAGGTCCAAGAAAAAAAGATAAATCAAAATTCATTGCCACGACCCAAATGTACTTAAAAAGATATAAAATAAACCCTTTTCCAGGGAAGAGCTCACTTGGGAATCCCTTCCCTAAGGCAAAGCTCTCCCTCCTGCCCCAACCTCCATTTTGCTTGGAGTTGGGAAAACAGAGGGAATCCACAGAGAACAATGGACTCTGCCCAGGTAACGAGGCATGTAAACTTCAGGACACAATTATCAACCAATACTGGTTAATCAAAACAAAAAAAGGAAAACTGATAGAATCATAGCACACTAGAACTGGAAGGGACCTCGAGGTCATTGAGTCCCTGCCCTCTTTTATTATCAAAACAAAACTACTGTTGCAAGCATAGTAAATTGACTAGGGGTAAATAGCCATGAAATTACATAGACTCAGGGAAAGTCCCTGGGTTGTAATCCTTAGTTACAAAAGAGAAGAACAATTAGCCAGCTCAGACATGGTTTCCAAACTCCCAAACAAGGAAAACAATTAATTCTAATGGACTATCTAAACTTTTCCCTACTTACGCATTTCAACAAGTCCATTCTTTGAGAGAGACCCCGTCTCCCATCTCTCTCAATATTTGGGAGAAACGGCTCTGATCTCAAAACAAAGAAGAGAGAAAGAAAAACCCCTCTGGCCTAGTTTGAAATTCTTATCTGCATTTTTATTGGCTGACTGCCCGAACCCCTTCTCTAGGTGCATCTCTAGTTGCTTAACCCTATCCTCATTCTTCAGGTAAGTCAGACTCTTCTTAGAAGCTCCTATTTATGACAATACCCCTCTGTGGAGAGCTTGTAAAATGCTTCCATTGTGCTTTGGTAGAATTTTACACCTACTCTGTACTCACATTGCACAGCCATAAATGCTAACCCAAAGTGAAAGATTGTGGAGAATCAGAGGCTGCTGGAGATTTGCAATTCCCAAATATGGGGGCAGGCCTGGAGCTATTTCTGTCTTCAGCAATCCTCAGAGGTATTTAGGCATTTAACTTCCATTGATTTCATAATTTTGAGGAATGTGGTCCAAGTGACCATGGCTACTTTCTGGCTGCTTTGTTCAACAGAAATAGTTCAAAGGGACTGGATCAGTTTCTAGGGTAGAGTCCTGACCCTAGGCTTCATTCTGTCCTGTATCTGAAATCAGTTAATCACAAGGGAAAGGGCTGTCAGGAAGCTGAGTGGTGCTCCCTGAATCTGTGGGCTGGCTCCAGTGAAACATAGTTCCAGAGGATCCGTCTTACAACATAAAAACAGCCATACTGGGTAAGACCAAAGGTCCATCTAGCCCAGTATCCTATCTGCTGACAGTGGTCAATACCAGATGCCCCAGAGGGAGAGATCACAATAGGATATCTTCACGTGATCCTTCCCTTGTCCCCCACCTCCAGAGAAACAGAGGCTAGGTTACCATTCCTACCCATCCTGGCTAATAGCCATTGATGGACCTAACCTCCATGAATCTTGTATCAGTTTTATACCAGTGAAGATTCACTAGAATCTTCACTGCCAAGTTATGATCAAAATCCAGTGCAAAGGAGCTAGATTGGCCAATATAGTGCATTCCCCTGTATCTAGAGAGGGTAAATATGGACGTCACTGCAATAATACCAGAGATGAAAATGTAGGGGCTTCTCTCTAGATTGTTATAGTCCGGAGTCCTGGGTATCACCTCTGAGATTAAACAGAGGGTTTGGGCCTCCAGGACTTTATTCAGTCAGGCTATGTCTAGACTGCAGGCTTCTTTCAGAAGAAACTTTTCTGGAAGAGATCTTCCAAAAAAACTTCTTCCGAAAGAGAGCATCCCCATTGCCAAAGCGCATCAAAAAAGCAATCTGCTTTTTCAAAAGATAGCGTCCATTCAGTGTGGATGCTATCTCGCATTTAAGCTGTGATTACTATGGACGGAGTGGCCACCAGGGCACCTGTGCTTTTTCCTTTTTCCTCTTCTTTTGAAAAGAACTCCCTCTTTCCCATCCACAGACACCTTTTTCTGATAGAGCTCTTTTGGAAAAAGGCTTCTTCCTCATAGAAAGAGGTTTACCAATGTCAGAAACCCCCCTCTGTTCTTTCAGGGTTTTTTTTAAAGAACGCGATTGCAGTGTGGACGTAAGTGAAGTTTTTTTCAGAAAAATGGCTATTTTCCCCAAAAAACTCTGTAGTGTAGTCGTAACCTCAGTTTCTATCAGAGAATTGGCTAAAGAAGAATAAAATAAAGTAAATATGATTTTGTACTGTAGCTCCTTCAAAATGTGGTTGCCACTTCAGTTGCAGGATGGATAGAATTTCAAAATGTGTGGTAAAGTTGTTATACCTGCAAGATAAGGGGGTTTGAAAAGCTAAAATACTTTTCAAAACTTTTGCTTAGCTTCTTCAAGGAAGATTTAAAAAATAGTCAGGGTGCTCTTTAAGACAATCCATTTTGTATCTTTTCCACAGATGCGGATAACTGCAGAGAAACTTGGAATCCCTCTTGCTCAGATTTTACCTGTTAAAAACTACTGCTCTGAGTTGGATCTTTCATCCGAAGTTGACATCCTGATACTTTCTGCAGTGAGGCAGCTAATACGTTTAGCAGAAAGCTACCTTGACAATTTCCCTTTTGAGAAACCAAAAAAAGAGCTCTAACATGATGTTTACTGTGATGCTGGATATTTTATGTGCTAACCTTTTAAAAATCCTTGATACCAGAAGCCAAATTTAGTGCTGCTCTAAGCAGTGTTTCTCAAAGTGTTCTGCGAAACCACTTTGAGAAACCTGGTAACTGGCCACAGCTCTCTTTGGACCCCTTTTGAGTGTCCACACACACCTTTTTGCGCAAGAAGGAGGTTTTGTGCAAAAACCCTATAGTGTAAACATAGCCTCAATAAACACACCGGAGCACCCAGTTAGCAGGTTTCTCAGAGTGGTTTCACGGACCACTGACTTCAGAGGAATGGTACTTGATTATGTTAGTGGTGAATTTGGTCCAAAGGTTTTATATCTTGCTACTGCTTATGAAGATTAATGGTATTTTTGAATGCATCAAAGTCAGAATAGATTCTCCAGCTTTCAAGATGGGATTCCTTTATTTAAATATTCCATTCTTACTCTGCTCCTAACCTTCCAGTCAGAAATGGCCTTTTCTACTAAAAGAATTGTTTACATAAACCTTTTAAGAAGTTGGCCCTTAATAGTCTTTGTGAGTTGCTTCTTGCTAAATCTAGTTCCTGTGCATGCCATATATTCTTTATTTTTATTCTTTTGAGTTTATTATACTATTTAGTAAAGTAGTTTTTGTACCAAAATTTTGTAGTTAAATGCATATACATGAACACGTGACATGACCTGTGTGTTCATATTTCTCACTGACACGATTATAAAGAATAGAGGATTGTATTATAAGCAAGAGTTAAATTGGTAATTTACATAACTAGTCTGGACTAGTGACGCCAACTAGGAAGTGTGAATTAGTCTAATTGTTTTGTGATTTCATCTGTTTTTCAAAAAGCTGTTTACGTTTAAAAGAATTGAAACACTAGGTTGTAAAACATTTATTAGATTAATTGGAAAATAAATTACTGCATGTACTTTTTCAAGCATTTTCTTTATCCAGGTTCAGGATTGCAGTAATTTTGCAAGAGGTTTTGTGCTTATTGAAGGAGTGGGTGGTGAGGTTCTGTAGACTCTGATGACCAAAAAAATCAGCCTAGATGGTCAAAATAGTCTTTTTTGCCCTTAAAGTCCATGAGAAGAGGTGAGACAGAGATACAAAAATACTACTTTTGCTCTTGCTTACACTGGTTAAACCCTGCTGTAACGCTATTGACATTAGCATGTACTTCAGATTTGTACTTGAGAACAGCATTTGTGTTCGATACTTCATGAGCTGTAATATCAAATGCAATGGTAGCATTAGAAAGAGTATTTCTATTATACTTTAATAGCTGTGGCTGTCCCAGAAAGAGTTGGTGTGGCTGGTACAGGTGACCTTCCCTTTCTGGCACCATTGCAACCTGACTGATCCTGGATGAGGGATTTTGCCAGACCAGGGGAGATGACTTTGGACCCCTGCTACTGGCCGCCTGTCCCGGCTGCTGGCCTCCTGGCTGACTCCCCACCTCCTGCTGGCCCCTCTGCCCTGCCGACCCTAATGGGCAGCCATTGCTGCCATAGTGCCGGGACCTGCTAGGCAGCTGTGCACCATAGCTCCTTGTCCCACCAAGCTACCGTGGCTTCCAGCCCCACTGGGCAACCATGCGCTGGGTCTCCCTGCTGGGCACTATATTGCCACTATGGGTTGGTCCCACCGTTAGCTTGCTGAGGGCAGACCACTGCCCTACCAGCCCTGCAGGGATCCTTGCCAATGGCCCTTCACCAAGACTCTCTGGTCTTGCAACGTCCATGCTGGACCAGAGAATCCTGGTTAAGAGAGTTTTAACCAGTATATAGTTTCTTGCAGGTGTAATCAAGGGGAAGGGCTTTTTCTTATATGATAAACCAGACCTAAAATTGAGCAGTGCATGTTATTTAACAAGAATTCTTTTTTTTTTTCATTAAAAGACTTGGTCCACTTTGCCCTCTAGTGGCCGACAGTTACAAAAAACTGATTTCTGAAAAACAGTGCTATATAAAGATGCTTTAGAAAAAGACTACAATGCAGGATTGTGAGTAAACCTCTTGCCTGACCTATGATTCACTTCTTTATTATTTTATTTTCTGTGTCCACACAACTATTTGGGGAGGAATTTTATGACTATTAAAAACATAAGAACGGCCACATGGGGTCAGACCAAAGGTCCATGTAGCCCAGTATCCTGTCTTCCAACACTGGCCAATGATAGGTGCCCCCAAAGGGAATGAACAGAACAGATAATTATCAAGTGATCCAGCCCTTGTCACCCATTCTCAGCTTCTGACAAACAGAGGCTAGGGATACCATTTCTACCCATCCTGGCTAATAGTCATTAATGGACCTAACCTCCATGAATCTATCTAGCTCTTTTTTGAACCCCGTTGAAGTCGTGGCCTTCACAACATCCTCTGGCAAGGAGTTGACTATACAGTGCGTGAAGTAGTACTTCCTTTTGTTTGTTTTAAACCTGATACTTATTAATGTCATTTGGTGATCCCAAGTTCTTATGTTATGGGAATAAGTAGATAACTTTTCCTTATTTACTTTCTCTGCACCATTCATGATTTTATAGACCTCTATCATATCCCCACTTAGTCTTGAGCCAACTCTGGTGTGAATGAGCCCAACATCCAGCCACCCTTTTTGCTAAGAAAGCAGAGTCATATAGCCAGCCTCCAGATCTCTCCACCAAAAGACAACAGTAAGTGGTGGGAGAGGTGTAGGTTACATCTCCTGATATTTTGCTGTCAGAATCTATTCATTTTGCTAAGGCATATTTTTATAGATATGTAGCTACTTTAGTCCAACTTTGTCTTCAGGATAACAATGGTAAAAGCACATTTAAAGTGTATTACATGCCACAAGTAGCACATTTTGATGCTTAGCAAAATGGAAAAACAAAATACCTGCAGAGATCTTTTGAGATAAATAAGAACCTTGGAGGGGTGTGGAGGGAAATGAAACCAAATAGCTGTCGAATTGCAATGAAGCATTTTCAGGGCTTTTATTTCACCTTTCCTCAGCCTACCATATAAAGTATTTTCCAGCTCTGGAGAATCAGACTAATGTATTAGCATTAGTATGTGTGTATTCTGTTTTTCATGCATCATTTAAAAGGACCATCTAATAGTTCTGCAGTTGGGGCTCTTGTCACTTTATAGCTCATGTGCTGAGGCTGATGAAAGAAGCTGCTGTTTGATATTTTTAGAAGTGTTAACTCTACAAAAACTGAGAGAGAAGGGGTGACTCTACAGATTGGCACTTCATAATCTGGACATAGTCCAGCACTAGCCCTGGTCCAGCATTGTCAGGGTGACCCTGTGGGATCAGGAGGATTGCCAGGCTACAGGCAGGTGATACGTGGAGTCCTGGGTGGCAGCGGGGTCACTGGGGAGAGCCCCTGGTGGCAGCGGAGTCACCAGGTGGAGAAAGGAGCCCTTCCTGGGTGACAGCAGATATGGGCTAATGTGGAGCCCTGGGTGGCAGCAGAACCATGAAGTGAGGGAGTGGAAATAGAGCCTCCTCATGGGGAGAGCAGAGCCCCAGGCAGCAGTGGGGCAGCCAGGAGGAAAAGCAGAGATGCAATGCATTGACCTTCCCTGGTCCAGCAAATTTCCAGGTCTGAGACTAGTCAGGTCCCAGGGGTTCTGGACCAGAGAGGTTCAGCCTGTAGAGCAATTATTAATGTGCTTTAGTAAGACTTATCCTGGAGATTATCATGTAGAAGCTCTCCTCAAGGGCTGATTGTGGATGAATCCCAGCTGAACTGCTGCATGTAAAACACCCAGTAGGCTAGGCCAGTTAGGTAAAATAACTCTTTGTCAAGCCTGTTTTTCTACTATCAGCAGTGCGTTAGAGTGAACTGTCTACAATATGGTACCTGTTCTACATTACAGTGTGATAACAGCCACATTGGTTGTTACAAGGGACTTCCAAAATTAATAGTGTGAGCCTCTGTAGTATGAACTAAATAGCAGTTACATAACCCACAGTATGGTGTGTGTTACACATCTCCCACTGTGCTACAAAAGATGTGAGTTTGTTGCAGCTTCCAGATGTAAATGCAAATATAGATAGTACAATGAAGAGTTCTGCTTATCATGCAGATGCAGCCAAAGTATTAAACTCATTGAGATATGTAAGGAAAGGGACAATGAATAATACAGAGAATATTATAGTATCTTTTTATCAAGAAGTGTTGTGGTCTCATCTGAAATCCTGTCACCTCATCTCAGAATGGACATTGCTGAGTTCGAGTAGATTTAGACATGAGAAGAAACAAACCCAGGCCTAGAAAAGGCTCAGAGAAAGAGAAATTAAGAAGAGTGGGATTGTTTATCTCAGAAATGAAGCAAATAAGAGGAAACATGATAAATGTATACAGGCAGTCCCCGGTTACGCGGATCTGACTTATGTCGGATCCGTACTTACAAACGGGGCTTTTCTCGCCGCGGAGGACGCGGGCGGCGGGACCGCCCAGACGCGCCGCGGTCCCGCTGCCCGGGTCCTCCGCAGCTTTGCTCCGTATCTCCCTGGTCTTCTGGGGGGGGCCGGGCGCAGCTAGTGGACCCCTCCCCCCCCAAGCAGACCAGGCTTTTCTCGCAGAAGCCTGTGGTAGAGCAGCTGGGGCGCTGCTGGTTGGTCCCGCAGCGCCGCTCCTCGGCGCTACTGGACCAACCCGGCAGCACCCCAGCTGCTCTGCCCCAGGCGTCCCCAAGTCAGCCACTGCTGAAACTGACCAGCGGCTGACTACAGGAAGCCCGAGGCAGAGTTTCTCTGCCTCGGGCTTCCTGGACTCAGCTGCTGATCAGTTTCAACAGCAGCTGAATCTGGACGCCTGGGGCAGAGCAGCTGGGGTGCTGCCGGGTTGGTCCCCGCAGCGCCGCACCTCGGCGCTGCGGGGACCTACCCGGCAGCGCCCCAGCTGCTCTGTCCCAGGCGTCCAGATTCAGCCGCTGGTCAGTTTCAGCAGCGGCTGAATCTGGACGCCTGGGGCAGAGCAGCTGGGGTGCTGCCGGGTTGGTCCCCGCAGCGCCGCACCTCGGCGCTGCGGGGACCTACCCGGCAGCGCCCCAGCTGCTCTGTCCCAGGCGTCCAGATTCAGCCGCTGGTCAGTTTCAGCAGCGGCTGAATCTGGACGCCAGTTCCGACTTACGTACAAATTCAACTTAAGAACAAACCTACAGTTCCTATCTTGTACGTAACCCAGGGACTGCCTGTATATAATAATGTATAGTATGGAAAAGTTAAATTGGGAACTTATGTTTCATGATTGCATAACAAGCAGAGGTTACCGAAAGGCATCAAATACAAAACCAATACAAGGAAATACTTTAGCACATAACACGTAACTAGATCGTGGAGCTCATTGCCACAGGAAATTGTTGAGGCCAGGAGGACAAAGAAAACATCAAAGCAATAGCATCTTCTATTGTAGAGTTCCTCACCAGGTAAGGGAAGAGGGGGCAACCACAACAAAATAATACATAGTATTATTTTCATGTTATGGCCATAATAAAGTTGAGGTGTATGTATTTGCAAATATTTGGCGATGCAGAGTTAAAAAAAGGATGTTAAAGTACAAAAGTGGGGAGGGGGATTGGAGAGGGACTACTCAGTAACTCAAGTGTTTGCCCTCATCAGTCTATTTGAAATACATTTCATTCATCCACAAAGGTATGTGAACGTGGTTCTAGTCAGTGCTGCAATGCCTAATTCATGGGTAGACTGCTGCTGAGTGGACTCCTTATCCTCTAGCTGGACACGTAGACTATGTCTAAACTGAAAGCCTCTTTCGAAAGAGGCTTTTCTCTTAAGTATTTTTCGAAAAAGCCTCTTTCAAAAAAGAGCATCTAGACTACAACCAGTACTTTAGAAAAAGCAAGCCACTTTTCAAAAGAGAGCACCCAGGCAGCCTGGATGCTCTCTTTTGAAAAAGCAGTTTGCATTACATGGTGCCTTTTTTTGAAAGAGCACTTTCGAAAAAAGGCATTCTTCCTTGTATAACGAAGTTTTCCATGGTTGAAAAAACTGCCGCGTTCTTTCGCTTTACTTTCAAAAGAACGCTGCAGCAGTCTAGACTCGGGGAGTTTTTTCGAAAAAACCCTGTAGGCTAGATAGACCCATACAGAGGGGTGGGTAACCAAGAAAAGCATTCTCAGAAACCAGCAAACCAACTGGGAAGCCACTCAAGTTAGCAAGGGAGTGAAATGCTAAGATAAGGAGTGGTGAGAGCAGAGGGGCCTAGGCACCTAACATGTGCCGCCTAGCCACCAGGCCAGAGATAGATCCTTCCTCCATATGGGATCCTCAGTCATGAACCCTCTCCTGGATTTGTGGCTGAGCTAGCTTAGTGTCTGTGCCCTAGCAGCTGAAACAGCCTGTCTTTCACTGTCTCCTGCTTGTGCTGGGTACTGCTGTCATACCTTACATTTCCCTGTGTCCCCTGCTGCCTGCTGTACTGACCATCCATCTGTTGGGAGGGCCCAGATTCTGGTCTTTAAGCTGTGGGGTCTTACTGGGTCTTGGCGTGCTCAGAGCATACCTGAAGGATTGTCCACTAACCTGGTTTTGGGGCAGTCCAGGCTTTGGGAGATTTGTGAATGCCAATTGGCAGAAAATTAGATGCTTAGGGGACTTAGGGACCTATGGGGTTAGATGGAATCTGAGTGCAGGCTGAGAAAATAGTAGAGCTTAATGGTGTGAGTCACAAACCAATTTAGGTACCTAACACCCTTTGGGTATGTCTACACTACTATCCTAGTTCGAACTAGGGTGGTTAATGTAGTCATTCGAAGTTGCAAATGAAGACCGGGATTTAAATATCCCAGGCTTCATTTGCATCTTGCCGGGTGCCACCATTTTTAAATCCCCGGTAGTTTGGACTCCATGCCCGCGGCTACACGTGGCACGGAGTACGTAGTTCGAATAGTAGGTAGTTCGAATGAGGCTTTCTAATTCGAACTACCGTTACTCCTCGTGGAACGAGGTGTAACGGTAGTTCGAATTAGTAAGCCTCATTCGAACTACCTACTCCGTGCCGTGTGTAGCTGT